TGTCGGTCATAAATTCAAATGTACATTTTTGTGTCGTATTTTGTAGTGCCGTCGCCACAGAAACATAGAACAGAGATATACTATTGCTCGAGTCAGGATTCGAGCCAGGACTCGAGTCAGGACTCGAGCCAGGACTCGAGTCAGGACTCGATAAAAAAATGCGAAAATACGGGGAATTGCCATTACCCAATGGTTTTGTTTCATAAGACACGTTACGCAGGCTAGCTAGTTCTACTACTAGCAAATTACATACAACCTTTCAATAATTACGCTAATCACCTTGTGTACTTTACCAATGAGAGCGAGGTTCCAAGACCAAAAGGTATGTGTAATTATCGAAAGGGTGTATTTGGTAATTCAGTTATAGCCAGCGTGGCCGGCTCTTTTATAATACAGTTTGGTGATATTGGCGTTTATTTCAAGGAAAATAAGGCAGGGAGAATTATCCTACTCTTTGACGAATGCTAAGCGGCAATGAGCGGCAACAAGTATCTGTTTTGTAAAGAGCGAGAGACTGCTAGTAATGGGCAATACCAACTGTTTTAGTTCGATAAAATGCTGGCCGGATATTTCCCTTTTTTGGATATCAATATTTGTGCAATATATCAAAGACAAACAACAACAATGGTATTGACTATTGTTTCATTCACTGTCTTCCGACGCTAATAACCATTACAGTTAGGGGCCGATTACATGTAGCATTCTCAACCCCGGGGTTGAACTCAGCCCTGTTTACCGGGTTGAAATTTCAGCCCTGTCTGTAATACAAAACTCTATCAAAATCAAACGCGCGATTACATGACAAAATTTTCAACCCAGGGCTGAGTTCAACCCCGGGGTTGAAAATGCTCCATGTAATCGGCCCTTTAATAGCCAAATTAGGGCCTGTTGAAGCCTGTTCATATGGGCAAAAGTTATCCCGGTTAACGAGAGAACTTTTCGACTAGCCAAATACTTTTGTTCTGTTCATATGGAGAAATATTATCCCACTTACCGGGAAAAGTTTCCGGTTGTGACGTAGCACTGAACATCAATTGAATTGAAAAGTTCCTGACACGACAAAAAGTTATCCCGCTAAGCGGGAAAGTTGTGTTCATATGGGGAAAACATCCCGGTCACCGAGATCTCGCCTGTCAACAAGCGAGATCTCGGTACACGGGAAAACTTTTCGTCTCATATGAACGCAATGTAACTTTTCATATTATTTTCGTAACAAGGCGAGATCTCGTTCGTAAACTTGTCGAAAAGTTTTCTCGCTAACCGGGATAACTCTGCCCATATGAACAGGCCCTTAGTCAAATGAGATTGACAGCTCTGTATGTACAAATATACCAAATATCAACTTTCGTTCTTTAGTTTCTTTTATCGAATCTGGCGGGAAAAGGCGGGAAATTGATTTGGTAAACAGGTTCTCTTACTTCCCATTTGCCAAACATTCCTTAGGTTATCGATAAGCAATTCCTCAGATTCAGTTAAATTTCATAAACATATATTTCGCATTGTTGGTGAACGAATAGTCTAAATTTAAGGAAAGTTCCTTAAAAGTGAGAACGCTGTTGGTAAATTTTCATCCATCAAAATCACTTGACGTCATTTTTGGCTCGAGTCCTGAATCGAGTCCTGGCTCGAGTCCTGACTCGAATCCTGACTCGATATTTAGGTACCCTCCATAGAACATATTGATAAAAATTCTAGGCTAGGGGGAATGGAAACACGTGGAATGTTCTATTATACTTATAGTTTTTTAAATCAATCAACTAAATCAATCAACTGAATCAAGGAAAGAATAATCGGTCTTTCTGAATTCTGGCCGTATTTTTGAAATATACAAGTTCGTGACATTTATGAATCTGGTCAGACTGAATGAATGTGGCATAACATTCAAAAACAAAGCTCTCTCAGCGTGTCAGGAAAAGAATATATATTACGACTATATTTACAAAAAGGGTTTTACTAGCTGTGGTAGTTTCTTTCATCTGAGATATGTTAGTCAGAAAGAAATTGTTTACTTTTAGCGCCTCTCAAGAAATATGTTAATTAGCTATAAATTATGCAAAAATCATTGATTATGGGCTCCAGAAAATCTTAACTCGCGCCAAATGCAGATTGATACCCGCAGGTTTTTCTTCCGATCTTCTGAAAATAAGTACAAATCATTACAGCCAAGCACATTTCAGCGTAATTTTAGGTCCCCATTTGGAGATCTCAGGCTTCGATTTTAGTGTAATTTTGTAGACCGAACAAGAAGCAAAAAACGGCGCGCCGTCAAGTTGCTGTCGTTTATTCACGATTTATTCAAATGCTCTTATTTTTTGGAACAGGGAACCTGAATTGTATCTTAACTTGTTGATCTAGTTGAAATTTGGAAATAGTCAGGCGTTTTGACTCAGCGCGGCTCTACAATTTACCGAAATTCAACCTTCGATTTTGCTTGAAAATAGCTCTGCACGGGTAAAATGAGTTTCGGCGTCTAGCGAAGCCATAAAAAAAGAATTGTCAAAAAAAAATTTATTTTGGACACTTGTATACCAATGCCTTTCAACACACAAAAAATAAAGGAAATCTATTTTCCGAAGTCAAAGTCATCGGACCGCTCTTAGCGGGACTGCCACTTAATTGCACTCATTCCCGTGTGATTACTGTAACGATATTTATAACTTTATTACTTCGATTAGTATATAAACATGTCTGAATCTCAGTTTGTCAGTGACGTGCCTAAAACAATTATTCCCGTTCTTTATTACTTCGATTAGTATATATAAACATGTCTGAATCTCAGTTTGTCAGTGACGTGCCTAAAACAATTATTCCCGTTCTTTATTACTTCGATTAGTATATAAACATGTCTGAATCTCAGTTTGTCAGTGTCGTGCCTAAAACAATTATTCCCGTTCTTTATTACTTCGATTAGTATATATAAACATGTCTGAATCTCAGTTTGTCAGTGTCGTGCCTAAAACAATTATTCCCGTTCTTTATTACTTCGATTAGTGTATAAACATGTCTGAATCTCAGTTTGTCAGTGTCGTGCCTAAAACACGGAGGCCTAAAAAGTCGACAACAACAACGACTCACGTGACTCTCCCTCTCAATATAAAATTGTTTAACGGCATCATAGTGTTTATGCCTAACATATACCTAACATTTTTGTGTTCCAACGAAATTGTTTAACGGCATCGTAGTGTTTATGCCTAACATATAACTATAAATAATGCGTGATAATTCTTAGTGTCTCTCGTAATCGTTATGCCAATCGGGCGAACGTCGCACTCGCGTAGTTCGACGAGGGATTGTCTCTTCTTGTCCCGCGTCACTTTCACTCGGCGTTCGTCCTCCATTATTGCCAGAACTGCCTAACTGATTTTCATTTCCTGTTTCATGGTTTAAAGGTTTAGTTGCGGTGCTATGTTCCACGACTGGTAAACTTGGGGTGAGGTCCTTTTCGATCGACTCGCTCGGTTCGATTTGGGAATCTTTCGCGTTCTTTCGCGTGCCATTTCTTTGGTCGCACGTAGATGACGGCGATCACCGGGAAGTTTCATTCTAATAGCGCATCCACTTTGTAGGGGCTCAAGCAGTTTACATTTCTTGTTATACAACCTTGCTTGTTTTGCTTTGCGGTTCTCTAATTCCTTCTTTGTTCCGTTTTGCTCCGGTGTTTTAAGAAGACTCTGATGTGTGGGAAGCAATGTACGAGTACGTCGACCCATTAATCTTTACGCTGGTGAGGTCCAATATTTTCAGTCGGAGTGTTCCTCCAATCTAGTAATGCTAATAGAGGATCTTCACCGCTGGCTTTTGTTTTCTTTAATAGGGATTTACAGGTTTTCACTGCATTTTCGGCACGTCCATTAGATTGAGGATAGTGTGGGCTCGATGTTCGGTGTTCAATTTGCCACTCGTTTGTAAACTGGGCAAATTCCGCTGACGTAAACTGAGGACCATTATCGGAGATTAGGGTGTCCGGAATTTCATGCCTCGCAAATTGGACCTTTGATGCAGTGATGACAGTTTTCGATGTAACTTTTGATAACTCTTGAACTTCAAAGAGCCCACTCCAGTAGTCAACAATGATAAGAAATTGCTGATATCCCAATTGAAATAGGTCCTATCCAACCACTGACCATGGTTGTTGAGGTAGGTCGTAGGACTTCAGTGGTTCACGACACTGCTCCGGCTGGTGTGTTTGGCATATGGAGCACTTTGAAACATAATTTTTCACCTCCGCATTCATTCGTGGCCAATATATCACTTCCCGTGCTCGCCGCAGACAACCCTCAATACCTATATGGGACTTGTGAATTTGCTGTAGCATTTCTTTTCTTAAGGATGAAGGCACAACGAGTCTTTCGCCAAAGAAGACTAATCCATTATCTTCAATAAGTTCGCTTCGGTTGTTATAGAATGGAATTAGTGCTGGTGGACATTGTTTCCGGTCTATTGCCCATCCTGTATTGATAGCGGTGATGAGTTGTTGCATCATTGGGTCTGTTGATGTACATTGTTTAAACTGATTTAACCTGTTCGGACCTTATGTCATGTTCGGCAGACTCGGTTGTAGTTCGGTATGCTCGACTCAGAGTGTCTGAAATCCACATTAATGTTCCTTTCTTGTAATGAATTTCCAGCGTGTAATTCTGTAGGGCCATTAACATTCTTTACAATCTTTTAGGCGATTTGTGGATAGGCTTTGCGAAAACTGCTTTCCACTGAATTCTGATTCAATGTGTACAATCTCGCGACCAAGAATGTATTGATCAAATTTGTTGGTGGCCCAAACGATTGCCAACAATTCCTTTTCAATTTGGGCATACCTGGTTTGTGTCTCCGTCAGCGCTCTTGAGGCATACGCAATTGGCTGGTCTTCTTGCAACAACACGGCGCCAAGTCCGGTTTCACTGGCGTCACACTGTATTGTTACCTCTTTAGTGACGTCGTAATAAGCAAGTACTGGGGCTTTCGCAAGGTAGTCGTTTACTGTTTTAAATGCTTTTTCGTGTCGCTCTAGCCAACACCACTCAAAATCCTTGTCTTCGAGCTTTCGTAGTGGTTGAGTCATGTCCGATAACAATGGTAGGAATTTGGCGAGGTAGTTGACCATCCCTAGAAAACGCTTTACACCTTTGACATCAGTTGGAGAGGGCATTTCAAGAATAGCTTCTACTTTGGCCGGATCTGGCTTTAGCCCTTCGGATGTGAGGAGATGCCCCATGAGTAGTAATATAGGGGCCGTTCGACCCCCATGTTTGGGGCGGCGCGGGGCGGCGCGGGGCGGCGCGGGGCGGCGCGGGGCGGCGTGGGGCGGCGTGGGGCGGCGTGGGGCGGCGCATCATTATATATGCAGGTAATTACTATGCAAGGGGGCGGCGCATCATGATATATGCAGGTAATTAAGGGGGCCGCACAAGTGAGGGTGCGTAGTGACGTCACGCGGGCGAACTTAAACACGATCGGGCGAAACTTGCTGACTACGCATTTTTTAGCGTCCCCCACGTTTATGATACAATTGAGGGATTAATGTTGGCTTACTATGAACTTTTATACAAGTATCTGTATAAAATCGACAAGCGTCTTGTAACAAGCATAGTTTTGCATCAGTCATGGCGTGTCTACACGGCAAAACCACATCTTACAATTTATTGGAAGGAATATTTGCGAATGCAGTCGCACAAGAAGTTGAAAGACTTTGTGTAGAATCCTGTAATGGTTGTCAAGTCGGTCATCCTAGTCAAAGACAACATGACTGCCTCATGATGAACGAAAACGAACGATGGCAAATGTATGGTTTACAAGCGATCGAACGAGTGAATGGTAAGCGTATGGTTTGGAATGAATTCGCTGAGGCAATGAGGGTACTAAAACTGGCGGTTGATAGAGATGTACTCGAACATTTACAGCAACTGGAGAAAGATCCAGATTCTACGTTTGTCGGTTTTGCCGCTTTGGGTACATCCTGCAACGATGCATGTAAAGGGATGCTGCATGACTGTAACCCCATTCGCCGTAAGAGTTTGCTGCCCAAGGTTACGAGTTCCATATGCATGGACAACCTTCTTGTGGCGAAGGAGATTACTCGCATTTGCAAACGTTTTACCGCAGATGTCGCATTCATAAGACATGTTTACTTCTCAAGAGTCAGTGTATAATGATTTAAAGCAAGAGTGAAGAGGTGTATTTATCCCGTTGGTTATTGTCGCGAATCCTGACTATGAAAGACTATAGTAAAGACTATGAAAGACTATAGTCCTGACTATGAAAGACTATAGTCCTGACTATGAAAGACTATAGTCATGAACTACGAAGACTATAGTAAAGACTATGAAAGACTATAGTCCTAAAGACTATGAAAGACTATAGTAAAGACTATGAAAGACTATAGTAAAGACTATGAAAGACTATAGTCCTGACTATGAAAGACTATAGTCCTGATTATGAAAGACTATAGTAAAGACTATGAAAGACTATAGTGGACTATGAAAGACTATAGTAAAGACTATGAAAGACTATAGTCCTGACTATGAAAGACTATAGTAAAGACTATGAAAGACTATAGTAAGACTATGAAAGACTATAGTAAAGACTATGAAGACTATTGTCTAGACCTAATCTATAGAGGGCGAGCCGATCCTTATATATGTGTTATTTCCAACTAAATCTTCATTCCGTTGCTGACCGCCGAACAGAGATGACTAGCAGTTATATGAAACACAGACCATTTGTAGATAACTATGAAAGACTATAGTCCTGACTATGAAAGACTATAATCCTGACTATGAAAGACTATAGTAAAGACTATGAAAGACTATAGTCCTGACTATGAAAGACTATAGTCCTGACTATGAAAGACTATAGTCATGACTACGAAGACTATAGTAAAGACTATGAAAGACTATAGTCCTGACTATGAAAGACTATAGTAAAGACTATGAAAGACTATAGTCCTGACTATGAAAGACTATAGTCCTGACTATGAAAGACTATAGTAAAGACTATGAAAGACTATAGTAAAGACTATGAAAGACTATAGTAAAGACTATGAAGACTATTGTCTAGACCTAATCTATAGAGGGCGAGCCGATCCTTATATATGTGTTATTTCCAACTAAATCTTCATTCAGTTGCTGACCGCCGAACAGAGATGACTAGCAGTTATATGAAACACAGACCATTTGTAGAACTCTTATGTACTTCTCATCCAACTCAAAAGCAAGCTCTTCTTAATTCTACATCAACTGAGCAAATTCAATGCTTGTGTCATTGTATAGAAAATTTCACATACTCTAAAGAAACAAAGGACAAACTCAGACCTTTCGAACAAGATCTAGCTGATTTAGCAGATAGAGATAGAAATTTTAAGACGAAAAAGGAAATTCTTGTTCAGCGGGGAAGCGGATTTCTGGGATTGGTACTTGCACCACTTTTAGAAGGCCTTGCAGAATTAATATAAAATAAAAAGTATGAAGGACATCTCCTCATTCCAATCATGGATAGCGACAAACGATCATCTCCTGAACAGTGGAGACTTGAAGACATTCTCAAATATCTTGACGTTGATGATGAACACGAAGCCGAAGAAATCCTTCATTCTATTTTAACCTCTACGGGGATTTTGACTTGGAATGGAAAAGGAGAAATCGTTTACAGAGGACATAATATACGAGGCACTGACATTGTAGACCTTCTGAAATATTGCGTGACGCCTTATCATCCAGATATTCCCGAACCAACTGGATTGAGTATTTTTATAAAAGGTCTTGCAGAACCACAAGTGGTCCCGTCAGTATACACAATCTGATGCTGACGCAACTTGTAACAGTTGTAACAAAGATATATACATCTCCCATTTGAGTACGTGCCCCGTATGCACATGGACAGATTTTTATCCGAATTGTAAAAACTGTCGCTGTATAATCTGTGATTTTCAAGTGTCCAAAGGAGATTTTACACATGTAATCACCAGCTGCCCACATTGTCACCGAGGTGAAATTATAGATATCAGAACGGATGAAAGGCAGTCCTTTAACCATAAAATAGGCGACCAGATTGATATTTGATTAGTTGACTGCGTAAAGTTGAACTGAACACATCAACATGCCGAGAGGTACACTTGTTGTAGACGAAAAACTACTGAGAGACCATTTTTTGAGACAGCAGCGTGGTGGAAACATCGCTGGGTATCGTGGTGCACGTTTTCAAAGAGGATACGGGATCGGAAGTATTTTCAAGAGCCTTGCGAGATATGCTATCCCTCTGTTCAAACAAGGCGCTAAAATTGTTGGCAAAAGAGCATTACAAGCAGCCACAGAAGTTGGTCAAGGTATACTCCAAGGAAAAAATGTAAGAGAATCTGTAAAGACTCACGGAGGTGACGTTGTTAAAGACTTTGCCGAGCAAGGAGCAAGGACTCTTCTGCGTCAAACCGGGCGCGGAAGCAAGAGAAGGCAGGGCCAACGCAGTAATTTATCAACTACAAAGAGGTTAAAACTGTGTTCTCATATAACAGTCCCAGGACATACCAAATGGATTACGGAAGATGAAAGCAGCCACGATAATGAAAGCAGCTATGATGAAGAATCTGATAGCGAAAACTCTGAAACAAGTGACGATATATATTAGAAGCATAACTTTGTAAAACGTCTTGAAGAAATAAATTTATTTAAAAACTAAAATATTGTGTAAATTTTTGCCGGCAAAGCCCGCTCTTTCCGCCCGCGCAAACCGCCCGCCTGATTAGTGTACAAATATGTTGTACGTTAATATATGCATGTACCCGCAAAGCCACGCGCCTGATTTTAAGATATACACCTGCGTTAAAAATAATCCCTATCCATCCATCGGGATACACTTAGTTATGCAAATTCGTATTGCCTTAATCCCCTTAATTACCTACACACCTCCTAATGACTTTGCAACGCATAAACAACGCAAATTTGCAAAGCTTAAAACATGTTTATTGACACAAATAACAGACGATAGTGTCAAAAATATTACAACTAAAACTATTTGTTAAACTGTTCTATAAGTTTTTTCTCCATGAAGTTCTTGATAAGCTTTCTTATGATCTGCCTCAAAACTTCTAAATCGTTCACCCGTCGCCTTCACATAATACATGTAACTCGGTGGGTAAGAGAAAAACGCTTCAGCTACGGACTCGAGTGGGTCTTCTAATCTCCAATGAAACAAATAGTTCAGTATACATTGTAGTTCGTGGTTCTCAGTGTTCTGATGTAGTTCCATCAATGAATCGACAAACGTAGAATCTGGATCTTTTTCCAGTTGCTGTAAATGTTCGAGTACATCTCTATCAACCGCCAGTTTTAGTACCCTCATTGCCTCAGCGAATTCATTCCAAACCATACGCTTACCATTCACTCGTTCGATCGCTTGTAAACCATACATTTGCCATCGTTCGTTTTCGTTCATCATGAGGCAGTCATGTTGTCTTTGACTAGGATGACTGACTTGACAACCATTACAGGATTCCACACAAAGTCTTTCAACTTCTTGTGCGACTGCATTCGCAAATATTCCTTCCAATAAATTGTAAGATGTGGTTTTGCCGTGTAGACACGCCATGACTGATGCAAAACTATGCTTGTTACAAGACGCTTGTCGATTTTATACAGATACTTGTATAAAAGTTCATAATAAGCCAACATTAATCCCTCAATTGTATCATAAACGTGGGGGACGCTAAAAAATGCGTAGTCAGCAAGTTTCGCCCTATCGTGTTTAAGTTCGCCCGCGTGACGTCACTACGCACCCTCACTTGTGCGGCCCCCTTAATTACCTGCATATATAATGATGCGCCGCCCCCTTGCATAGTAATTACCTGCATATATAATGATGCGCCGCCCCACGCCGCCCCACGCCGCCCCGCGCCGCCCCAAAAATGTGGGTTGAACGGCCCCTATATTACTACTCCCATGAATGCCACTGACGATTGTGCTCGCTTTAGCTTGCTCTTGTTCAACTTTAAGTTCCATTCTCGACATTTTTCGAAAAACACCCGTTCATTCTTTTCTAAACTCACATTGACCTCTTCTTCAATATTCCCAAAACCAGCAATGAGAAAGTCGTTACTTCGACACCGTCTAATCCTTCTACGAACTCGTGCATGCGACGCTGCCAAACCTCAGGAGCAACTAACTTATCCAGTTCTGATTTTATACGTGTACGCATGGCCACTGGCACTCGTCGTGGCGGGTGGACTACAGGTTGCACTGTACTGTCAATCACAATCTTGTACGTGTCTGGTATTTTACCTAATGAACCATCAAACACGTCCTTGTATTCACTTGCTGGATCTTTAGGGGGTTGGATACCCAGACATAGGATGTCACAATGTCGCAGGTTTACAATACCCAAAGCTACGCTGGTATCTAGAGACAGAATTGGTCGATAGTCACCATCAATGATATTGAACTTGATTAGTTGCTCTTTCCCCGCATGCCATACTGGAAGTGTGACCTTTCCAGTTATGTTGCGTCGCTCTCCAGTGTATGATACAATCTCTTTCTTGCAAGGTTTCAGTAATTTAAGCTCCGTATCTCCTGTGACCCTTACATATGTCTCAGTAGGAAGAATTTTACACTGGGCCCCAGTGTCTATTTGAATCTTAAAAATGTTCTTATTCTTTTGTTTATTAATGTGTAATTTTGTCACTGCTGCTTTTGCACCAGAACCTTTCTTCTTTTCATTCTTGGAAACAGAGCTAATAACGTACGTGTCCTCTGAATCCGTGTCAGAGTCCTTTTGGACTAGAGACACGTTTTTGCTTTGACACACCTTTTCGAAATGGTTAAGCTTGTTACAGCTATGACATTTTTTTCCAAATGCTGTGCAAATTCGTCTGCCATGATTTCTTCCGCAATTACGACAACTATTATGCTGTTGGCGCTGTTGGCCTCTGCCTCTAGTTGACCTTGACCTTGGCCCTGCCCTTCTTGGGTATTTCGCATTGTAAATTTTGTTTCACCTTTATTTTCTTTAATTGTGTTCACAGACAAATCTCCGGTCATTAGCTTTACTTGTTGTTGTGTTTGTTCTGCGGCCTTAATTATTTCAACAGCTTTCTTCAGTGACAACCCATCTGTTCGCAGCAATCGCTCGCGAACTTTGTCATCTCTTATGCTCAATCAGGGCCGCCGAGAGGTTGGCGGGGGCCCGGGGCAAATTTTTTTTTGGGGCCCCCTATCCCAAAAATTTTTCAACAACCTCCTCCCCCCAAAAAAATATTTTTCGGTCAGTGTACCATTTTAGGGGTAAAAATTTTTTTCTGGAGTAAAAAAAAATTTCGGATAAGTATGTTGCAATTGCTTTCCAGGGACTTTATCTCATTTTTTTTATGCCAAGTTTCGGTACTTAGCCCAAGAAAACAGATATCTTGTCCTTTGCGCAGAAATATTTAACACACAAAAAAGACTGGGGCCCAACAAAAATTTTTCAGGGGCCCCCAGCACCTCGGGGCCTTTGCCCCCCCCTGCCCCCGCTCTCGGCGGCCCTGTGCTCAATACTAGTCTATCTCTTAATATTTCCTCAGGTGTAATTGACTCATGATCACAATTCCGAGCGATTGTTCGTAATTCGGTTGAATAAGTTGAAACATTCTCGCCTTGTTCTTGTTTTCTGTTATTAAATCGATAGCGTTCATAAATAACTTGAGTTCTTGGTTCGCAAATGCTCGTAAAATTTCTTTAGAACCTGGTCTATATTGTCTTCGCTTTCGCCTTCTGCCCACGTAAAAGTGTCGAATCAGTTTTGACGCCATTTTCACCTATTATACTTAGCAGGGTTGACACACGAACAACTCCGTCTTGCTTATAAACTCCCGTGGCAATTTCAAAACGTTTTCAAGCCTTTTTCCATGTTTTCCATCTTATCGCGATGTTGTCATCAAACACGAGTGGTTTTGGCGGCGGTATATTGGACGGTGGAACGTATATGCCTGTGGCGGCGGGCGCTTCTGGTTCTGCCATTGCTCGATGTATTTACTGTTTATTTGTTGATTGTACGGGTTCTTTTCCTGAAAAATAAAACGCCCCGGTCGTGCAGTACGATCCCGCACCTGACACCATGTAACGATATTTATAACTTTATTACTTCGATTAGTATATAAACATGTCTGAATCTCAGTTTGTCAGTGTCCTGCCTAAAACACGGAGGCCTAAAAAGTCGACAACAACAACGACTCACGTTACATCAACGATGATGTCATTGCCACAATTACCTATACTAAATGTACATTTAGCATCTAACTATGCCTCACTGGAAACAAACAGCCAATCAATAGAAATTTTAAAATGCTAATATACAAACTGATCAAGTAATGCTATCATATGTCTGTGTGAGACTTTGTTGTGCCATGTGCATTAACCTGAGTATCAGGCCCTCGGTATTGAAAGAGGGCCTGACACAATTCGCCTTTAAAGTCATGTTCAACATCCAGAATCTGGATGTTATGCTGATTGGCTAAGAGACGATAAAACGCATCATGTGATTCAAACCGGAAATATATGACCGGCGTATGTAAACACCAAAAATAGAATTTGTAATTTTGTCAATATACTGTTAAAAGTGCTTTATTTCTGAAATTTATTTTCAATTATAAGCCTAAAAATGACAAAATAAGTACGAAAAGACGTTGAAAACGCTTTTGCAGCAACATTTTACTCGGTATAAAACTAAAACTACATAGTCATAGTAGAAAGCGTGTCTAAATATCTCGCCGTAATAGTCGCCGTAGAACGAAAATATGTGGATGTCGGAAATTTTCAAATATTTAGTTCCAAAAAGCTGAAGCCTTATTTATCAGTTTATTGCCGAGCTGTTTTCCAACACCTGCAAGTATATAGTAGTCCGCTCGCTCGAACTAATATGCTAACATCAGGCAGAAATTGAAGACAATAGCCGCTGTGTCAGACGTAGTCTGCGAAGGCTATGTCAGACGCAGTTGAAGCAAATAGCTGTCTCGAATAAACTATTAACATGACACGAGGACCGAGGAAGAAGAAATCCTATTCAGAGCGCCGAATGTTTAGACTCCTGGAAAAAGCCATCGAGCTATGGTTACCGAATGAAGCATAGTTCACGCTTAGAATTCCATCATGTGCATATTTCGACAAAAACATACCGATTTTTCTCCGTCATTTATTCAAATTTATACAAAACTGCAAATAACGAAATTTGCGTATTTACATACCTGTAGCGGACAACCGGAAATATGCTACAACCGGAAATAATTTTAATTGGCTGATATTCTGGGGGTGGAAAGCCCGTTGAGGCGAATTGTGTCAGGCTCATTCTCGTAGCCAGAGCCCTTCTTACGCGCGTTCGACCGAGCCCGACGAGGGGCTCTGGCCAAATCCATAACCGGATACCATAAAAACATGGTATCCGGTTAAACACTGCGCATGCTCAACGTCAAACGCGGATAAACAGTTAAACACTTCGGTTTTCTTGTTTGTTTCGTTTTGAAAGTTTTTCTCCAGGAAAACCCCACAAAAGCGGTAGGTTTCGCTAATTTTATTTATTTAAACCAATTAGTAGATAAGACGTGATGTTCTCAATGCATGTTGATAAAAATTTAGTATATATTCCCTTTTTCTTTCCCTTAAACGTTGCTAAAGCAGCAATAGCTACAGATACGAGGACGCGAGATTGTCTCACTATTTTAGATTCGATTTTAAGTCGCTGTTGTACAGATTTTTAGACTTTTTTGTGTTTTATTAAAAGTGAAGAGTCGTACATAAGACATACTATACTGCAAATCATTTGAAAATTGTAAAAATCGGTTTCTAGGAAGAAAATAGTCATCACAATTAACTTCATATTCTGGCTGGCTTTAAAATTTTCTATTCAGATGGCACTAAAGCTTTGAACATGTAACACAGATTTGTTTGATTAACATCACTGATTTGGAAATACGACGAGCATCTGCCATAAATATGCTGACTTTTTGCTATGAGAACATCACGTCTCAACCTATTAATTTCAATCAAATAATTGATTTAAATAAATAAAATTAGCGACATCTACCGCTTTTGTGGGCGATTATCAACAACAATCTTCCTAACTGCTTCGTACTGCTGTTCTTTCAACTTTAATAATGTCTTTTCTCCCAATTTTATCCAAAACGAAACCAACGCTTCACATGGAGCGCTTGGTTTTTATTCATATTTTATACAATAAACCATATATTTCGTTGTGGCCAATCAGAAGCCAGTTTGATATGGATTTGGCCAGAGCCCCTCGTCGGGCTCGGTCGAACGCGCGTAAGAAGGGCCCTGGGTACGAGAATGTGTCAGGCTCTCTTCAATACCGAGGGCCTGATACTCAGGTTACGTGTGCGTATATGGAGTTTATGAATGTATACCTGACAAAATCTAGAGACACCTTATTGAGCAAATAATAGAAAAATATTTCCCTAAAACTTATCTGCTCTCAATCCTTTGCAATCACTGTGCAATGCACCAAAAAAAAGGTGTACAGTAAATAGTAATTGTCTTATAATTCTGTAGTGTGCTTTAGCAAATATCGTACTTTCAAATATCGTACGGTAGTACGGTACCTATAGTGTTTAATATAAATGATCAATACTTTTAATTAAATAAAATCAATAGCATATAAACAGGCTATAATGTTTTATTAATTTTAAAATTAATAGAATGGATATTCAATGTCTATTTGGCTAGTGTCCAAATGTGCAACGTTTGTCATCCGAACGTCCTAAACATGCAGTCGCTCTTGAAACCTGTATTGAAATTAACAAGTATAAAATCTATGCAAAGTTTATACCGTTTCTAAATAACAACAATTTAGTAACATGTCATAAAATTTAAAAAAATAGGTGAACGAGATGTCGAGCAGAAACGTGTGAAATAAAAGTGCGTCCAAGCCCAAGAACATAAGAATTATTTCAGAGCATACAATCATACGTTTTTATTGCTTGATTTCCTGACAAGTCTGTTGCTATAAAAATATATTTTAGCACATTGTTATAATTTAAAAGCAAACACAAATCAAATTTGTCAACAGTCACTCCTTGCAATAGAAGTGTAAAATGCGAAAGTGGAAGCATGCCATTTGATACTTTGCTTACCCCCTCCCCCCTTGGTCGATCAAATTTCCATGTGACACGCAGTGAGATACCAAAATTTAAGTTAGACATCGCTGGATGCAATGAAACTCGATTTTGGGTTTTACTGCTTATGGTCTTTGAGCTATATGTAATCAAACAGTTATACTTTTTTTTGCGCCACCCGGTATATATATATATATATATATATATATATATATATATATATATATATATATATATATATATATATATATATATATATATATATATATATATATATAATATAATATATCTCACTTATAGGTAATTTAGAATTAATGAAAATATATCAGTAAGATATATTGATCTTGGGAGTCTGAAGGCCGTATCAGAGATAAGTATATTTTATATATATATATCCAGGCGGCCAGACGTCCAATAAACAACCGAAGTATCACCAAGATGGCGGCCATTGACGTCCAATAGCTCTGAAGGCCGTAAACAGTTTTTATACCATTTTCCCTCCAGCTAATTCCAGTTCTTTCTAATGGACCGTATCACTAATCAAGTTTTCAGTTCATAAAATCACAATATTATTCTTTAAATCGAAGTCAAAATACGAAATTTCAACACACTCCTTGCCAAGATGGCGGAAATTGAAGGAGCTCTTGGACGTCAGTTCCAGTTCCTTTCTATTGTTTTTGTATCCGCGGTTAACACGAAACTGGCTTCACTCTGAGCAACCAAGTTCCTACTCCAGATATATATGGTGCTCACTGGTGACACGTGACCAGCCCCAGCCTGGACCTTCCCTCAAAAAGAAGGAAAAGCCTGGGAACGAAGTTGGGGGAATTTCGTTCTCGACCAATCAGCGCTTTTGTTTACATTTTTGCCCTAAGCCAATCAGAATGCGTAAAACGCGTCATCACATGAAATTTTTAAACAAAGCTATGGGGTTACTTCAGAGTTTTGCTGCAAGAGGTTTTTTGTTTTTTTGCCATGAAATTGATATATGCTGTTCTTAAAAGAAGTCTCCTCAACTTCCTTGTGGGGCTTCTTGATTAATTTCGTGATTGTGAAGATATGGGTCTTCAAACTTTGCCTTGTGCAAGCTTAAATACCACCCCTCGAATTTGTAGGTTCCGAGCAGATTAGCGTTTTTAAAAGCTTTTCAAATCGAGGTTTAAGAGGTTTTATTTTTTAAAAGATAATTTTTTCTTCATATTTTCACATTAACTTATTAATGTCTTGTGTAACAAGTAAACAGGACATTTTCGGGCCAGCCGCCAGGACAAGTTGACATGTTGATTTCTTGCTAAACAGCGTGGCGATCAATATGGCGCGCATCTAAATACAGGGAAGTTTGAAAATTTTGTTGGTATATTACAGTAAACACTCTATCCAACAACTAGACAACATGAACTTGCCTTTAAGGGTCTATGCTGCCTAGCCATAGATTATATCAGCAAACCCTTAACAGATCCTGAAACTACAATTGGAACATTTTAGGCCATAATCTTCTAGAATCGACAAAGTATTGTAGCATAATATCACACCGGGCAAGCTGGTCATTTATATGGGCTAAATATACACCTGCCCATGGTAAGATACTGCCTCGTATATTAATTTTATACATGTATGAGATTGCATTCACATGAACCAGCCTGGTTGAATTTATTGGCCCAGCATCGGCTTGAACAAGTTGATATCCTGCAGACATCAGTGTCAAGATTGTGTTCGATTTTTTTTAAATTTTGGATATTTTAAAAATAAAGAGCAATTCACTCAAACAATTCAGAAATATATTGCAGTCGTCAAAGAAATCGCCATATCAGCGGAATTACCAAATAAACAAAAATTTCCAAACACAATTTTTTAGAACAACTATTTTACTGTATAAAAATGATATTTTCATAAATATAACTTAAAACCAGCAGGAGCACAACTCGAAAGCGTAACGGTACCGCGATTTAAGATTTTCCTGAATAATTCTTACATTATTTTATTGTTTGTTAATTTTACAACTTTACCATATTTTGCATGCACTGGAAAACATTTGGTGAAAATTTAATGAAAATCGGGCTGATATTATTGCGCGCAGTAGCGATTTTCCGCAAAACGCCAAAAAGGGTGTCCTTCATGTAACCTTAACAAATTAACCAGCATTTCCAAATTTTTTTGGAAGGGAGGCCTATTGGTGAGGTTAGTGGGGGAAATGGAAATACACACTCGAGAATGTTTTTATAAAGATAATATATTAGTATAGGAAATTACACGGTTCGAGAAGTATTAATGAAAAATCGCACGCGTGTTTGGCGAAATATTTATAATACCGCGAGTGCGTAGCACCATGGATAATAAAATAAATTATTTATTTTATTATCCATGGTAGCACGAGCGGTATTATAAATATTTCGCCAAACACAAGTGTGATTTTTCATTAATACTTCGCGAACAAGTGTAATTTCCTATTAATATCATTTTACAGTCAATTTTACACGAGCAATCAATGATAAGAAATATTGTATTTGTATTCAAGCGAGTATTGCTCGCTGCATGTGGTCAATTTTTGAGAGCACTTTCTGACATTAATTTTCAATTCATACCTGTAAAAACTGTGAATAATCTTTATTTCTTCTTCTTTCTTCGATATCAAAGCATAAATAAGAGTTCATTGTAAACTAAGAGCTCAGAAAATGTACATTTTCAACTAAAGTTGTTTGTTTTCAAGTCGACATTTTGTTACGCCACGCATGATCCACGCGGGATGTAGTAAAAGAAGGAACACCGGAATGGCGGAATACCGGAATGGCGGAATACCGGAACACGTGAATGCCGGAATACCGGAACACCTGAATGCCGGAACACCGGAATAGTATTTTTACTTTTGAAGGACAATTTAAAAAATATTTTAAATCCATAAGGAATTTTTTATTTAAGGCGTTTAAACATGAATAAAAAATGTCAATATATATACAGTATTATTCAATGCAGCAGTTTAGTAGACCTTATTTACAAGGATATCAAACGCACACAAACACTTAATAACGCGATGTCCCACAAGACAATGTTTGACGATGTTTCACCATGTAAATGGTGTTACTTGAAATTCGATTAGGTCGGCCACGACTTGCATTACGAGTTGTTGCTAAACATTTTCTTGTGAGACATCTCATAAGTTGTTTTCCTCGAAGGAATACATATATTCGTGTGAATAAAACTAAAATCCCAGTTATATTTTTAATTTAAATTAAAGTCTCGACGTGAATTTGAATTAAGTAAATGTAAACAATACACTAGTTATTGTGGATTTCAGATCACCTCTCAAAGCGTGGTTCCCTAGTTTGTTTGTTGGTAATTCCCAATTATTTATTAAGTCTTAAGAAATACGTTTAATTCGTTGGCTATATAAGTAAAACACTGCAAATTACAAGTTTAAGATCGCTACGTCGGTATTCCAGTTCAGTACTTCGGTATTTGAGTAAGCAACTTAAATTGTAATTCCACGCTCAATATTCCAAATTTAAAAAGTTGAATGGGAATTTTGTTGCGAGATAGAGACATCGAATTCAAGACTTTCTAATAACATATATGACATTTGGCTGACATATGACAATATATCCTTTACAGAATAAAATAGGGATTTTTACTTGTTGTTTACGTTACGTTGTGACACAACGTTGTTGTGTTATGTTATGTTTCGGTGACCTACTCAGTAGGCTACTCTGTAGGCTTACAGTAGGCTACTGTAATATTGTCGGTTTCAGGTCACTTTTCAAAACGCGGTTCCGGTTTGTTGTGAATATTCCCATTCAGCTTTTTAAATTTGGAATATTGAGTGTGGAATGTTAAGTTGCTTACTCAAATACCGAAGTACTGAACTGGAATACCGACGTAGCGATCTTAAACTCGTAATTTGCAGTGTTTTACTTATAAAGCCAACGAATTAAACGTATTTCTTAAGACTTAATAAATAATTGGGAATTACCAACAAACAAACTAAGGAACCACGCTTTGAGAGGTGATCTGAAATCCACAATAACTAGTGTATTGTTTACATTTACTTAATTCAAATTCACGTCGAGACTTTAATTTAAATTAAAAATATAACTGGGATATTAGTTTTATTCACACGAATATATGTATTCCTTCGAGGAAAACAACTTATGAGATGTCTCACAAGAAAATGTTTAGCAACAACTCGTAATGCATGTCGTTGCCGATCCAATCGAATTTCAAGTAACACCATTTACATGGTGAAACGTCGCCAAACATTGTCTTGTGGGACATCGCGTTATTAAGTGTTTGTGTGCGTTTGATATCCTTGTAAATAAGGTCTACTAAACTGCTGCATTGAATAATACTGTATATATATTGACATTTTTTATTCATGTTTAAACGCCTTAAATAAAAAATTCTTTATGGATTTGAAATATTTTTTAAATTGTCCTTCAAAAGTAAAAATACTATTCCGGTGTTCCGGCATTCAGGTGTTCCGGTTTCCGGCATTCAGGTGTTCCGGTATTCCGGCATTCCGCGCCATTCCGGTATTCCGCCATTCCGGTGTTCCTTCTTTTACTACATGCCGATCCACGCGGGCTCGTATCCGTGCCGATTCTGACTCGTCCCCAGTCGTCTCTGTGAGGACGCGCGAAACGGGCACCCCTGCGCGCGCTTTCCAATTCGCACGTGCTCACCTCAGTGGTGCTCACAGAGACGACTGGGGACGAGTCAGGTGCCGATTAATCTTTAATACGCACACTGTGCGTATTAAAGATTAATTGCACGGTTTTTAACCAATCAGAATCGAGTAAATTGACTAAAATGATATTATATACTTTATTCTAATATATATATTAATTGCGTTCCATTTTGTCCATGTCTATTTAGGTTTCATTAACACGAATATCGTGTGTTTGTAGAATCGGTAAGTTTTATTCAACCACTGAAATCAATGGGTGTTTGATTAGTGATATTATTGTTTCCGCGCAAATTTATTTGATGTAATTAACAGTAAGTTTTTCTTTCTTTTTTTCCAGATAAAAATAGAATACAATTAAAGATAAAAGAACAGCATATAGAATATGTAAAAGTAAGTTATGTCGGGCGACATTAACAATCTATTAGTATTACGAACTTACCTCGAAAAATATCCTCCAACCAACGCCATAATAAACACATTGATTTATAGTGTTTATGAAACGGCTGAAAATTTTTTCTGAAATTGTGCTGATTTTATAGTTTAAAGTACGCTGAATATCATGCTGTATTTTATTTTTGCCCCGCGATTTTTTAAAGTGGATTTTTTAAGCTACAAAGTTCAGCAATTCGGCTATTTTTTGTCCCGGGGTCTGGACCCGAGTGAAAACAGCGCGTGACGTCACTGGTTGTACACACATGTTGACATTCTCAATATAAACAGTAAAGAACATTTGTATTATCGCGCTGTATAAAATATTTTATCGTGATTTCTACTCTTTTACTATGTCGCACAGCGAAGATTCTCTTAGTTACTCTAGCTTAGAGTCTGATAACATAACGGAGAGCAATTTAGAAGGAAATATGAACGTAACGAATTGTTTTGAGCCGTATCAAGGGGAACTATTGCCAGTACAGACGACAGCGAATCTTCTGATGAGGAACAGGACGAAGATTACATTTTGCCATCTGTTTTGGAGAAGCGTTTAGAAAAAATATTCCATTAGCAAATTGGTGAGTTCTACAAACAATACTAAGTTACTTTATTATGATTTTCATGCAATATTTCCCGGATATTTGCCTTATTATTTATTTCTGTTGTAGGTGTTCGTGTGGGAATTGTGCCGATCAAAATCTGGCGAGTGTTCAGAGTACTGTTGCTGCAAAGAGATTGTGGAAGTAACTGGAAAATTTACTTGGATTGGCAAGAATGTTGAATACATCCTTAATCATCCTGACTTCAATGCTATGACAAAAGAGAAGTGAAGTTGGGCCTCTTCTATTTACAAACATGGAACTGATGGAAGCTCCCATGGAATAAAAAATGGCGCAGATAAAAGGTACATATACTTCGGTTGTGCATATTAATTCTGACTAGTAGCGAAAGTAAAACAACTTTACAGGTTCTATAAAGATAAATTTGTATTGTTATAGATTCCTCAGAGCAGTGTCATATCGTCGGCTGTTTGGGCTGGGAGAACACCAGCCCTTGTCACCATGCATTTACCATCATATGACTGCATGTATTTTGTACTGGTGATGCTGGTATATATCTGGAGAAGAGCAAACGGATAATGATAACTGAAGTCACTATTATGTATATATTTCATAACATAAAACCCAAAGAAAAGTATTATCACCAAATCTGTAATGTGTATTAATGTTTTACATATTTAAAAATCCAGGATTCATAATTAATTGTGTAAACGTTCTCTGGTTAAAAAGATTTATTTATTACTTATTTATTTATTTAGTAATAAATAAATCTTTTTAACCAGAGGACATTTACACAATTAGTTTTACATATTGCCCACTTTGAGATCCCTTGACTGAAATGTAAATCAGGCTTTAAATTCCCAGCAATTCCTAGCTTATGAAGGGTTGGGGGAGGGGGTACACTGACTGATGCATAATTCTGTTCATACTTATTATATTTCAACAATATATACAACAACCCTCTTAACTATTTACAATATTTACAAACAATGAAAATATACAGTAAACAGATCAAGTCTGTGGAGCATTGTGTGGACAATGTGATCGCAGGTGACCTTCATTGGTGCCTTGCACTTGCTACATTGTCTGGCTTTTCTCTTTGGCAGTGGGAGATTTTCTGTTGATTTTCGCTTTTCTGCCTCCAATAATGCTGTTTTTTTTCTGCAACTAAAAATAATTCATCAAATTATTATATAAGTTATATCAAAAGAATAATGTAATTTGTTGTCTGCTTTGTATATGATAATATTTGTGTTGGTGTTAACAATTGTTCGCCAAAGGTGAGGTGATTATCGGGGAATATTTGCAGAGACAAAGTTGAGGTGAATATTCCCCGACAGTCACCGAGTCTGAGCCTCAGACTCTGAGGCTTGTCAATGGAAAAGCTCAACAGCTTAATGGGTTAAAAAAATTTTTTACCGAAACTTTTCTGCATCTGAAGCCGTGTTTACACTACAAGCCTAAGCCTGGCCTAGGTTTGGACTAGATTTTGGTAGTGTCGACTTCGACCGCCACTAGACCACTAGACCATGCACTTCGACCGCCACTAGACCAAGAAATCTGGGCCACCTTTCCTGATGGGCCCAGGTTTCCTAGCCTAGGCCAGGCCGAAGTGCATTTACACCACAAAAATCTAGTCCAAAGGTACGCCAGGCTTAGGCTCGTAGTGTAAACACAGCTTGAGAATTACCTAACTGGCGCCCAACATGGTGTGTTTACACCAGATACTGTACCTGGCTAAAGCCCTGAGACCAATCAAAATAGATCATTACATACACATAACATGAAGTAGTGACTTTGAAGAAGTAAATAAACAGAAATTGGCTTCAATTGACCTGGGGCCGGTTGTATAAAAACGTAGTTAGCGCTAACTGCAGTTAAAAAGTAGTTAACTTTAATCACGTTGTTAAGCCGGTTGTATAAAAGTGTAGTTAGCCTTAACTGCAGTTAAAAAGTAGTTAAAGTTAACTATGCTTTAGGGTATAGTTAACTGTCCAAAACGTAGTTAAAAATGGCGTTTGTATAGGAGTGAACAACATTTTTCAGTTGAACAATAATGAAAAGCAACGCTTACCTGAGATTTTCAATCGCTATCTTCCCTGTGAATATTTCCTGACAATATAAACTCTTCAAACGCTATCGCTTTGGTGTTTTTACGAAAACAGAACATATTTTTGCACAGGACGATTTCTCGAAGACGAAGTATGGTCCATTACACCAAGAAACACTGATATATAATTGCCAAACAGCTATACTTTAGTTTAACGTAGACATCTCAAGGAAAACTGCATTCTTTTATGATTTTTGTGGCGGTTTTCCTTGTTTTTTGTTTATTTTTCACTGTTTTCTAGTGTTTTGAATAAAATTCCCGCCTATTTGCAAAATACGAGTCCACAATCATGTTGAAAATGTGTGTCAGCGGTCGTTACTCGCTGCTTACTTTATGAAATTTTGTGTTTAAACGCCCCACGCAAGCCCCACGCACAGTTAACTACGTGATTAGTTAACTATCCGACTAACTACGTTTTGTGCAACGCAGTTAAGTCATGTAGTTAACTAATTACAGTTAAGGATTTAACTACAGTGATTAACGCTAACTACAGTTAGCGCTAATTACGTTTTTATACAACCGGCCCCTGTATTTAAACTATTAAACCACTTAAAGGCAAACTCAATTTAACAACACATTCCAAATACTTTTATGTCTTTCATATTGACATCTACATATTAAACTATGAAAATGTAGCATGAGAGCCTTGCCTTACAAAGCTTTTATTTCATGTTGTTCACTTGCCTTTGGTGGCGAACTATTAAATGTCCGAGTGTGAATTCCAAATTTATAGCAACAAATATTTCTATTATACATAGTGTAAACGGGTCTTTATAGAGTTATCTGGTTTTTGCCGTGAAGAATATTGAATATTTAGATTATGTCAAGGATGAATATGTAACAGCTTCAAAATGCCGCAAACGAACAATTTATGCATATACAGTATTTACCTGTCTTCTTTCACGAGCTGAAATCGCCTGAACTTGTGGCCCTGAAACAACGCAATCTAGACTAGGTATCGCGCCTTTCTTCAGCCATCTCTTAGTCGTGAATTTTTCCGGTTCTTGTGGATTAAAATCAAGCCGTTGTTCAAAATCTGTGACCTTGAAACGTGCTGAGCAAAGTACCGAAGTGCTAGCCTGCGAACAGGCCCTGGGTTGCGGGCGGCGCGAAGAATAGAGGGCCTGCACGGATGATAGGTTTTTTTGGTAGTGGCGTTCGTATAGAAACGCAGGCTTCTGATTGGCTTACACTCGTTGACAAAATTACTAAAAATAGCAAATGTCAACAACAGCATTTTGAAGAATTTGAACTTTATTCATTTTAATATTATATATTATAGGACTATCGAACAAATAAAACTAGAAATGGAAACCAAAAGCAATAGCAAAGCATCACAGCAAAAAGTCTATCATAAATGACTTGAATCTATCGCTTAAATCCAATATACGAAACTATAACAGTATTCTGAACTTCGTCTTCGGATTGACATCAGACCATAGTATAGTACATTTTGAGGTCGTCGTGGCTTCACGGATTATTCTCATTAGTGAGCAAGTCAGCAACCGAAGGCATACAAAAGATACCCAAATATGTACGAATAATTATATTGTCGATCCTCGCTGGCATGTCATTTAGATAAATATATATATCGTACATTAAACGTTGTACTGTTTACTGTATATTAACTGCTGACAATTTCGATACGGCTTCCACTATTGGCACACTCGTGATTTCGAAGAAATTAATAAATACATGCTCATTTATCATTTATTTAGACCACATTTAGTAAAATTTTAAACGTATTCGGTATTCCAAATCCCAATCTATCTGACCGTATTTTAGTAATAGCTTCAAAATATTCAGAACATTGTTCTTTCAGTCGCACATAGTACAAGTATTACTGTACATTCAAAGCCAATGGTAGGTTATTCGGCTTTATATTTGTATGTGTATTGATATCTATTTAATATTTGAAGAATTCTATATTTTTCCGAGTAATATATTGTGCGGCCCGCTAATGCTTTGTATTATTATTGTTCATGTTGCACAATGTACACGCCTTGCGTCAATTTGACAGTTGACAGTTTATTTATCGCAGTCGACGCTGATTGGTTGGCGTTTAGCAGTGCGAAAAGGGGATGAATGAATAAAACGCATGGTTCCGTGCAGGCTCACCTTTCTCCCAGTGAGCCTGTTCGCAGGCTACCGAAGTGCTTGATGGCTGCCATTGCGGACGATGTCTTTGGACAAGACAAGCCCATTTTGCTCGGACAGAACTATCGCTAGGGAAGCGATGCATCGAAATTCCTTCTGTTTTCGAATTGTTTTTGCAACTGACTTTTCCAGGTCCACCTGCAACACAATACTTTCCAAGAGATTTCTCTTTCGCTCGGCTGTTTTGAGTCTCGGCCATAACAAATGGACAAATTTACCTTTGGAATGAACACGCAAGTACAACCAGTGACGTCACGCCATCAATTTGACCGCGCCGTGAGATGGGACAAACAAAGGTCATAGATGGCAAACTTTGTAGCTTAAAAAATCGACTTTAAAGAATCGCGCGGCGAAAATAAAATACAGCATGATATTCAGCGTACTTTAAACTATAAAATCAGCACAATTTCAGAAAAAAATTTCAGCCGTTTCATAAACACTTTATACACAGTTCTTAAGCTTGGCGCACACGATGCGATTTAATTTAGTCGGCCGATAAAAATCGTTTGACATACCAATATACATCGGTATACCCCGCACACGATTACGAAAAAAATATGCTCCCTGAACTGTAGCCGCCATGTTGCCAAATAAATACAAGCACATGATCACAGCATGAAATCTGATTGGTTATACTTAAAATTCCACCGATAAAATCGTATAATATCAAAACGTTTTGATATTGTCCGATTAAAATCGAGCAACAAAAATCGGTTAAAAATGACACGGCACACACAACGATTTTGTTAGTTTTAGTCAAACGATTTTTATCGGCCGACTAAAGTCGCATCGTGTACGTCAGGCTTTAGCTAATCATGCAGTGTTCAGAATATTAAAAAATGCTATATATAATTATCTTTATAATATGACATGCGTAAATTGTGAACACTGATTGGCTAAAAGCCGTGTTGATATTACTCGATATTAACACGAAAAATGTTTTATATTTGTTAAATATCATTCTAGATCAACTCTCAGTCACCGTGTGTGTTGATGATCCTCCTCAATGAGGAGGGTGAAAAACATTTCGATTATATCTGGACCGACGCCGAAGGGCCGAAATGTAAGTTAATAGATTTATTGTTTATAAACCAACTTTTGTTACACTGGATAGCTTTACCAGCTTCGAGGTGTTCTCCCTAGAGATTCGGCAACGATCGTGTGTGTGTGTGTGTGTGTGTGTGTGTGTGTGTGTGTGTGTGTGTGTATGTGTGAAATGTATTTAAAGACGCTAGTCTTATTAACAGGTCTTGATTTTCATCAGGGGTGTCACAGTGTTACTACAGGAGGAAAACTAAACTAAACTAACTTTATTTATACTGGACAGCTTTGTCAATTATGAGGAATTTAAGACATTTTAATTCTGCTGCCGCGATATATTAGGCTTGCGTTATTCCCCAAATCTGTTTGAGCATGCGCGCTTCAATAATTTTTACTGAAACAAGTAAGTGCGTTCTTTTAGACCCCCGTATACTGTATTATGTAAATAAATTATTCATTTTTACATACTTGTAAAACTTTGATTAGTGTCTTTGCGGTTTTCATTTTGCAACTTAATTTTGTCTTTTACTTGTTGCACGGTCATTTCCTTATAGTTTGAACAATTCTTGATCTTGCATTTTATCGAAAACATGATTTCTGAAAGATTTTGCTCTCTTTTTTCTCAGATCGACCATTCCACTACCCCCAAAAATTTTCATCCTTTTTTCATATTTCTTTTGACCGTTTCTTGATAAAGTTTGGACCATCTCCTTTGCCAAACTATCTTTCTCTTCCTCTAACTGAGAATATTTTCTTCGCCACTCTTCTCCCAATTGACTGCATGGTATGCTGAGCTATATCATCATATCTTTAATGAACATCAATTCATTAACCAATCTGGTGGATGAGTACACTTTACATTAAGTTCTCTCTTTTTTCTGCTTCCTTTAGCATTTTTGTACTTAGTGACGACAAAGCTCACTTCTCGTCTTAGCTTTTCTTGTATACGAAATCCAAGTATAGCCCTGCTGACTTGAAACCATCCATTTGAAATCTAGCTATTAAATAAGTCAAACTAATAAAAAAGTCGCCTTTTGAATCCATTTGCCCGGCCATTCTATGCCAAAAATCCAAGAGGGGATAAGGAATCTTAAAACATAAAGCAATTGCAAATCTATTAACATTTTCTTGGCTAATGTTTTACAAAGGCGGATTAGTGATATTCAATTTATATTTAAATTTTTTGACTTCGAGGTCACTCAACGGCGACGTCTTGAAAAATCCCGCGATACAATTGATCAGCAGCTTCTACGACAAGTGAATCGCAATATAAATACTTACACGAAGTACTCTCAGTATGAAAATAAAACTTGGCGTTCAAAACAGGTCGGCAAACCCCAGCATGCTACACAGGGGGCATGATTTCAACTTTTCCACTTTTTCCTATATGTAATTCACTCTTATTTGGATGCCATTAAGATTACCTGAATTAATTATCTTTCGTGCATTGTAAAAAATGTTGTCTTAGATTTCCGGTAATGCGGAGTTCAAAACTGCTCTCCAAAGAATAGAATAGAATAGAAACTTTATTTCACGAGGGAAAACGTATTAACCGTAAAAGTTATCTAACATACGGCCCTCGCACTATTTTGATATTTACAGGCGTAAAATAAAAAGTATTGAAGATTACGACTATCTACATTTGAGAAAAAAAATAATTAGTAATGAATACAATTACAATTTAGTAAATATTTACAATTTATACAAAATAGATCTTTGATATGGTTAGTAATGTCTTTTAAGCTTGTTAAGAAAGATTTTACGAATTTTTTGTTTGGCGTTAGTATATGAAGAGCAAGATGGCGAAGCAGCAAATCGCTATCTAAGCAATTAAAAAGAATGGAAGCACTGTACAGAAATGTTCGTTTACCAGAGTCAGTACGCGGGAAGGGGGTTGAAGGTCATATGCGCAAGCTCTAGTCAGAGCCCGTTGTCGAATAGAAGATAAGAATTTAAACATTTGCTTAAATGAAGATGGAGCACTGGGATTTGTGAGAATGTTAATCAGTAAGAGAAGTTTCCTAAATTTAACAATATCAAAGATTGGTATTATTCGAATCTGGGAAAAAAAAAGACTCGACTTTTCCCAACTTACAGAGCAGTAGAT